AAGCTCCAGCCTGGAATATTTTTCAGGCTGTAATTTTCTTGCTTTCTCAAGATGTGTCCCACAGAGGGGACCCATGAGGATCACCGAGTCAACTCCTGGCCTTGCACAGGACACCCCAAGAAACACACCATGCAATTTCCATATCTTTCTCTCAAAAAGAAATTCCTGTACAAGAGGGTAGGACATGAGCTGAGAACTTGTACCTTCCAGAAAAAAAACTCAAAACAACAAAAAAAAAATCATAAAATCAAATAGAAAATAGTTTTTTCTACATGGAATTTATTTTCTCTTAAAAAAAAAGGCAACTGACTAAAGGTTTCCAATCTGCAGTTATGTCAGGAGAACAGAAATATGTCAAGAGACATTGTAGTTAAGTACCACACTGGCACCAGATTTGTGGAGTGCCTGGGTGAGAGCAAAGCAGAGCAGGTACCCTTGGCTGCACCTGCAAGGCTCTGGAGCACCTTCTCAGCTCACAGCCGCCTGGAACAGGAAGCTCCCAGTGTAACACATTACACTGCAGGTCAAGAACAGCATCTCAAATGTACCTTCCTCAACCGCCCTTTCATTTTTCTCCCAGTGCCTGTACCTGAAGGCCCTGATCACTTAGAGCAAATGGCAAGTCTTCTATCTTACCAGGCTTACCACCAGGATCCACATCATTAAAGTGGTGGTTGTTGGAATGTATCACTTTTTTTTTTTACAGTCTCAGAGGGTGCAATACTGGATCTTTCATATTCCTACCTTAAGAAAACAATCCAGGTAAAGAGTTCTAGAATGCATCACAGCTATTGTGAGGAGGGAACATGACAGAAAAACAAGAAATGTAAATTCTAATACAAATGATAAAAAAATACCAAGAAGATGTTCTGATAAGCAGTAGTTACCCAGCACTCCTGCCTCCATAGATTCCTTTTGTTCTGCACAAACAACAAAAACTGGCACATTTTTAAGTTTGAAGTAGGTCTTCTGTAAGACTACAGATTTCTGGCAGGTTAAGAGCTGAATGCTCATGGTCCATATAAATCCTCTGATACCTGTTTCCAAGAGAAGGAACATCAGATTTCCTTGATTAAAGAATGAGAATGATTTGACGTCCTTAAATCCAACTGCTCTAACAAGCTTTACATGAGACTAGACATTCACACCGATGCAAAACATGGCAATCCACTAGTGGGGACTGGGAGAGGCATTCAGTGAGGAGTCTGAGTTTCTGCATTGCTTTCGGAAAATATTAACACGGGGGTATTTGCTTTAATTTTCCATTTCCTGGGACCCCCTGCCAGGAACAATGTGCTACAGCCTATGGCACACTGCTACAAGGATGAGGCATGCTCCAGCTGCAGCACCATAGGAAAGAAGGATCATATGGCAATGACAAGGTGCTGCCTTGCAAGGAAGCTCAGCCTTTGGGTTTGCCCAGAGCAGTACTTTCACCTGTGGGCAACAACAGCTTCAGGGTGAAAAAAAAATAAAATTGAGATGTGTTCTTCTCTGACATGGTCCTGTGATGCTTCACGAATTGTCAGTTTAGTGTTGCCCTCATATCCTGATCCAAGTTGCACACGTCACGGTGAGGGAGAGCATCACAGAACCACAGAATGTTAAGGGGAACGACAGAATGAAATGATCTTAAAGATCATCCAGTCCCAAACCCCCTGACATGTGCAGGGACACCTCCCACTAGACCAGGTTACTTAAGACCTTAAGGCCTGGCTTTGAACACTATCGGGGTTGGGGCATCCACAACCTCCCTGGGCAACCTGTTCCAGTATCTCACCAAATTTCACCTCCTTCAGTTTGTATCCATTGGTCCTTGTCCTACCGCTACAGTTCCTGACAAAGCCACTCTCTAGCTTCCCTGCAGGTCCCCTTCAGATACTGGAAGGTTGCAATGCAACCTTCTCTTCTCTGGGCTGAACAGCCCCAACTCTGTCAGCCTGTGTTTGCAGGGGATGTGCTCCCATTCTCTTCGTGGCCCTCCTCTGGACTTGCTCCAACAGTTCCATGTCCTTCTTATGTTGGGAACACCAGAACTGTACACAGTATTCCAGGGGGTCTCACAAAAGCACAGGAGCTAAACGTCTGATGAGGGATAAAATGCAACTACAGAACCCAGCCCACAAGGGACAGTCAGGATTTTCAGCTTCCTTGAGGCATCCATATACTATTTTAAAATCAAAGTATTTGGGGTTCTGCTGCATTCAGATATTTCAAAGAGAGACTTAAAAACATGGTTTTGGCTTCCTGATTTGAAAGGCGTCTGGATGATTCTAACAGGAAGAAATGCAAAGTTGATCTGGGCAAAAGACATCCCTACAGAATTGTCTCCTTCAATTTTGAAGATGAGCCAAGGAATGACCGAATTTTGTGGACATGGTTACAAATAAGCTGGTTAAAAAGAAACTCCACCTGCAGTTTCCCAGCGGGCTGACTAATCCTTTCCTACTTGGATTGTCTGCATGGCTCCAGTGCACAGGATTAACCAGCCAGTCATGACTGCACTCACTGCGCTCTCCCTCAGGGGTGGCCATATCTCATTCTGTGCGTCTTTCTGCAAAATTCATCGTATCCCTTAACCAGGAGGGATGCTCTGCAAAGGAAGGCAGCTGCTGCTATAGAACTGGAGTTGCCTCTTCCTAGTGCCGCTATCTTTCCAAGACAGATTCCTCTGAAGTAAGAGAAAAGAGAGAAAAAGGGAGACTTTTGCATTATTTTATATCAAAGCTAAGTGTGAATACATATTGCTGAGTTAACAGTGTGGAGATGGACCACATGAAATCTCTTGCTGAAGTAGCCAAGGGAAAATATCACAAGTCCACGCAAATCTTGGCACGTGTAGTCATAATGTTTCTTTAACCATTAGCATCCAAAGAGCCAAGATAAATCAACAGGATCTTTGTAATGAGTTTGCCAGACTTTGTTCAGGTTTGGGATGCAAATTCAAGAAGGACACTGTAAAGGCAAAATGGAGGAGTAAGAATCCAGAAGCATTTGGCTGAGCTTCAAGCAAAGGTAACCATCTACCATTAAAGCATTACCATGGCCCAGCACTACCCAGAATTACTAAAAGTAAACTGCTGCCAGAAGAATATCTATGGAAGGACCAAACTCCTAGCAGGAACAGGTAGCCAGCTCCCACACAGAGATTATTTGGGTTATAAACTCACCTCTTCTCTTCCCCTTTCAAGCCAAGACTAAGACTTTCCTGTCATCAGTTTCCACATGATGTGTGTTCAGAATTTTTCCTCCCCTATTCAATTTTGCTGGAAGAGAGTATGACTAAAGTTGTTTGGATTGACCCATTAAATAAACATGAGCAGGATGTGGTGTGCTAGCAGAGGATCATGTGTGTTTTCATGAAAGAAACTGATTTCTGGATTTATGGGTATTGTCACAGGCAAGCCTCTTTCAGACATACTAATGCTGGAACAGACTCTACATTTTTTTCAGCCTCAAAGGGATTACTTCAACAAAATTTGCTCTTCCTCTGGATTTTTTCCTTAACAGCTTGGTTAGAAGAAAGGAGGAACCCAATCCTTGAGCTGCACGAAGATCTTTTCTGTTTGGGAGTTACTCACCAAAAGGCAGGAAAACTATTATGAGCTGCAATGCAGTGGGAGAATTAAACAAGTCCCTATAAGCTACTAATTTAGGCATGAAACAAACAAAAAAAAAATTAAAAATGGAAATCAGCTAGTTTTAAGGACGTATTCAATGTTTTTAATGGATTGGAGAACATGAGAAGAATGGGAGTGGGAGAAAAATGTTTCTTCATATCATGGCTGTAATGGTGAGTAAATGTTTCCAGGCTAGAAAGCAAATTTAGACAACATTTTCACCCACTGGAGTTTCTAGACTGCTTCTCCATTCAAACAGCAGCAAATTTTTTTCTCTACAATAAGCACGTACTGGGTTTGTCTACCTTCCTATTTTCAACCCACCTAAGCCTTCACTAATGGAAGTCTTGTTACACCAGAAGCCTCAATGGCACACATGTACACATATAAGCTATCAAAATACTATTATAAAGTGAGTGTTCCTTCTCAACACTCCTTCTCTGCCCACCCCACCTCCCCCCCCCTTTCCCCAGGCCAGCATATTTCAAAAGAGACTGGAACTGAGTACTTCCAGCTCCCAGTCGCACTGCAAATGTCTGGGTGCGTTGACAAATCCCTGGGCCACCTCTAGGACTGGTCTCGATGAGCAGCCTCGAGTTCACAATACTGATTCCTTGGATTCAGGGTCTACTGTGCTGCTTGTGTTGGAGACTGGGTTTTTATGGGTTACCAAAGGTGACGTTTCCGCTTCCGACTTGCTGTTTGCAACTGCTTCTACGGTGACTTCCTTTAGCTCCTGCTCTCTCTCTTTCTTGTCTTTTTCATTCAAGCAATTAAGGATGCCTGCTCCCAGGGCATCCCCTTCCACATTCACAACTGTAGTGGTTCGGTCCCTGGTGGAGGGAAACAAAAACCAAAGCAGCAGGCTTTTAGTTTTAAGAGAGTTATGACACAATAAGGGGAGCTGATTCACCCCTGCTGAACCACTAACATCAGTGAAGCTAGACAAGGTTATCACAGGTGTTTTCCACAGAAGTATCATTCACTATTCCAGAACTAAAAATGTACACCAGAGCAGGTTTAAGGTCAGTCAAACTGTTAGTGTCAGCAGCTTCTGGTCTCTCTGTGGATTGCAGCAATGGTACTACTCTTTCTCAGGCATCCTGCTTTTCACAGATCACCTCCTTCCTTTTCTCTTTCCCCAGGCCAGCATTTTTCAAATGCATGTTCAGAGCAGGAGCTTACTTCGGGCTTATCCAGAAAGTAACTCAGAGCACCCAGCTCTCTTTTTTCACTACTCTGACTGGTATCTTAAACCAAGCACCTACTTAAGGGATCCTTCCAAAAGCAGGGAGAACGACTTGTGTTCTCTGCATCTGTTGCCTGTAGCACCTGCCCTAATTTTTGGCCCTACAACACAAAACTAGTGTGCCAGGGTGTAATGGAAGAGCATTATGGGTCACAAAGATGAACAATGTTTTCATGTGGCTTTTGAGACTTGTTAGTCACTCTGCAGCTTAAGTTTAACAGAGGTTCAACTTGCAGTTGTGGTGCTCTCTGGTAACTAAACAGCGGGCATTAAAGCAAGATATGGGACTCCTTCCTCCCTCCTTTCTCCTTTTGTTACCACAAGGCTGAGCTTCTTGATTAGAACACTGTTGACCACAGAGTGACACTACCTATTTTAAACGGAAGGTAATCAGCACAACACAGGCCGAGAGCAGCCCAGAGTCAAAGGAAGGGCTAGTTTTTCACTCTTGCCTTCAATCACTTGCAAGTACAGGTGTGGAACACCCAGCGATTGCTGTACTTCCTTAGGAAGAGACAGGATAAAAAGGGCTAGCCACTGCTTTGCCTGTCTCTTCTGTCCTTTGGAGGTGGCTGATCCCCAAGAGGTTGCAGTAAGAAAGAGTGTGATGACCCTGAGGAAGCTGTAGGAATATGATTATGCTCCACAGACACGTGGTGTGAGGGAAGGCAAGATAATACAGATGCCACCTTCTCTAGTCTCTGAAATTCAAGGGTATCCTCAGGCATCCTAATTTCCACATCTTTTGTGGGAATGCACCATCTATACAGAGAGGCTGGTGTTTCCAAAAAGCAATGCTGAGGCATTATGTGCACTCTAAACCAGCAACTGCCCAATAACCTACCAACTGGAAACAAATTACCTAAGCAGGATTCAGATCATTTGACCCATACTGACCTCTTACTTCTTTCCCAGAAGATGGAAAGGAAAGGTGGTAATACTGCCTTTTAAACTTGTGACACTCAGCAGTGTGTTCCAGCCATAGCACTGCCCACAGTAGTGGCAAGCGTCGCAAACCCTCTGTGTCCCTGCCCTGCCAATGGACAGCACCTCTCTGTGATACTTGTGTTGGTGCTTTGACCTGTCTTGAAACTATAAAAAAAGTTCAAACAATAGCTGGCATGTGGGAAACTACTTCCCACATGTGACCAAGGAAGTTTTCCACAAATGATGTTCAGACTCAATTTCCTTTGTCCTCCTCTGCCCTTCTAGTGTCCAATTAATTTCCAGCAATATCAACACCTTCTAAATGGACTTTTAACAACAGTTCTAATTGGAATTGAAACCAAGAAGAAAAACATTTCTAAAAAGGCTGAATAAAAAAGCTGAAGAGAGATTTTAACATACTGACTGCTTTAACTGGGAAGGCACCACCACTTTTTCCATTCCCCATCACAAGTTACCTGTCCTGTTGGCAGACATCGTGTAGGGTCTTATTTTCTACTGGGTTATATTCTGTACTCTGACCATGTTTCCAGCTAAACATGCTACAAGGATGCTGTAAGTGAGGTGGATGTCTCACTCTTCTCCCACGTAACAAGGGACAGGATGAGAGGAAATGGCCTCAAATTGCACCAGGGGAGGTTTAGATTAGATATTACGAAACTCTTTTTCCATGGAACGAGTTGTGAATCATTTGACCAGACTGCCTAGGGAAGTGGTGGAGTCCCCATTACATGGCTTAATGGTGAGCATGGTGGTGGTGCTACACTGATGGCTGGCCTTGACAATCAGAACAGTTTCTTTCCAGCCTTAGCCATTCTGTAACTCCATGTTTCTATGCCTTACAAGCAGGTATGTGAGGCCTGCAGTACTCACACAATCCAGTCCACAGCCAGTATGAGGGACAGGTCGTTGGTGGGCAGCCCGATGGCCTCCAGGATGATGGCAATGGTGAGGACGCCTCCGGCAGGGACCCCAGCTGCTCCCACACTGGACGCCGTGGCTGTCACGCTGCAAATCAATGTCCGTGCCCAGTTAGAGAGGCTCCCAGCTCTCCTCTGCTGCACTCTGTCATGTGCTTCCCTGCTATGGAAATTGTAAACAAACGCTCCAGCATGGGACACATGGAGCATTTGCTTCCCAGGCAAACCCCTTCCTACCTGCTGATGCAAAGGAATGGGTACAGAGGACAGGGGCTCAGCAGGGATCTGCAGCAGTTACCATGGCTATGGCTACGGGTTCAACACCAGGACTGCCTTTTCAGGGTAAGAAACAACCAATACAACTGTATCCTCCTGCCTTACTAACATTCCCAGCTCCAGTATGCTAAGTGACTTACATCTCCTGACCCCACATGTAAAGGCAAACTCTGCCATGCAGGGCACAGCACCTTCCCTGTGTCTCATTTGCATCCCAACACAGATCCTAAATCAGGAGCTGGAAACCTGCAGTGCGTGTGCTCAACACACCTTTTTTGTGTGCAGATGTCTGCAACTGAGCTCTCCTTGGGCTACCACTACATTATCCTCCGACTTGTCTTCACACCTGAGTCAATGAGAGTACTTGAAAAGCTAATTTGGCTACCCACCAAATAAAAAAACAGTGCCCCAGCCCTGCCTTAAATAGACAAACAACATACTGGGAAACACAATCAAGAAGGAAATAAAACCTGGACAGGAAGGGTAAAAGAAATGCCAGGAACCAGCCCTAGGAGGCATCTGTTGGATGCAGCTGTGGCTGCTGGGCACAGTGGGGAGCCAGAACTGCTTGTAGTATCCTCATTTAAGGGATTTTAAGGAGAGAAATGAAGACAATGACACTTCATGGGATATAGGACATCATAGGTTATTCCAGGCATAGAGGGGAGAAAGTCTTAGAGAAGGACACAGGACTGAGATGGTGGAAGGGACAATGGAGCAAAGTGGTTAGGAGGGGAACAGCAAGAGATCTGATGAAGAAAGCCAGTAATGTGGTGGTAGGAAGGACAGAGGTAAGCAAGAACTGAGTCTTTAGTGTAAAATAGATGCATAAGGAACCAAGTAGATGGCAGGAGAATTTTCTAAGACATCCAGAGGAGGAATCAGGGGCTGGTTTCTGGGCAGTGCAGAATGCCTCAATTACCTAGCCTAATGGTGACTGGAGGATGGAGGAGTGAGATGCTTAAGGAAGGACAGGAATTTCATGTGTTCAATTTAAACAGCTCAAAGACTGTTTCAGAATTCAATTACCCCTCCCAGGTTCCACCTTTTATTAAATCGAGAATCTTGTAAAGGTTTAAAGACTCTATCCTTTAATCACCCTATAATTATGTTACATAGCAGTTTGCAGGCTTTAGGTCAGAGATGTGGAATGCTAACTGTTAGTTATTAACTGAGAGACCACAGCTTGAATGTGTCTGGGGGCCAGAAGGATGTGGCTGCAAGCAACTTACAGAATTGTGAAGATCTGCCCAGGGTTGAGGTCGACATTGTTCAGCTGAGCAATAAACACAGCTGCCATGCACTGGAAAATAGCAGCTCCATCCATGTTTACAGTGGCCCCAATGGGAAGGATAAACCTGCTGATCCTCTTGTCGACTTTGTTGTTCTCCTCAATACACTTGATCATGGACGGGAGCGTGGCTGAGCTGAAAATAGAACAGGGAGAAATGAAACACAGAGCACCAGGGTGCCCATCACTGTCTCATGGCTTTCATGTTTCTAACATACAGCAGACAGGACTGTCAGGACAGCAACGCCATTTTATAGTCCCTCTCTGTCATGAGGACCCCTCCTTGTTGAGTTTAGAGCAGAGGTATTTAATAATCTGCTTTCATCCAGAAAGCTGATAAGGACTTTAATCTCCCAGAAGCAAGAACTCATGACTTAGCATACTATGCAGCATTACATGGCTATAGAATGAACAAGTCTCAGACTACAAACATACAGTAAGAAATTCAAATATAGCAGGGGAGGTTGGAACTAGACGATCTTTAAAGTTCCTTCCAACCCAAACCATTGTATGATTTTATGACAATATAAACACAACAGATGCAACAGCAACCTCTGTTAATGCTGTATTAGTACCTTCTCAAATGAACAGAAAAATAATTAAAAATATAACATCACCCTTGGAATTACTTCTTGATTTATAAATTACATGGTTTTATTCATAAACCGTCTCCTACTATGCAGAAGGAGAGAGTTTATAAATAGCACTTCAGCTCCATTGACAGACATGCAACTGCTTTTGGGGATGACCTGAAATGATTTTATACAAATGTTATTTGATCTAGCGTTTGTCTATGACGAAAGTGTAAATGACACACTCAATCATTTGGTTATGACAAATAAAAGCTGATCAGGTCAGATCTTTGAAATAAGCAATGTTAAATGCCTTTTCTCTAGCAACCAAGTCTGCTTTGCTCCTACAAAACTAGTCTGAATTTTTTCCAGGTCCTTCTGAACTTAAAAAGTAAACTTCTGAGGACAAAGTCACTCACTACTGACCTTCACTTCACTTAAAATTGAAAGGACTGCTGGCAGGATCATTTAAAGACAATAATTTCCCCCCCACCACCCCAAGATATTTCCAACTCAGCATCATGCTATGGCCCCAATACTTTGAGAAATTCTTTTCAACAGCTGATAATCAGCATGTGCTGTGTGGCAAGCTGACAACAGCAGTGAGACTCTCTATGCTTGGAAGACACTTTCTGCAATCTCAGGAACAATATTCACACCTAAAACTAAAACTGGATACAGTCAGTATCACACTGGATACAGCCAGGTGTCAAACAACCAGGTAGTAGTCCCAGAAGTGGCACAGAAACCCACCTGGAGCAAGTGGCAAAGGCAGTGGCAAATGGTGTGATAAGTCCTAAGAGAAAACGGTACGGATTTTGCCGTGTGGCTGCAAAATAAATAAGCGGCAGAATGATTCCTCCGTGGATGACGTGGCCCAGGATAGAGGCGAAGATGTATTTTCCCAGGCTGGTGACCAGAAGCACAATATCTTCCATTTCGACAATCTTGCTCCCAACAAGAAACATAATGCCAATAGGTACATACCTGTGTAAATGCAATATTGGCTGTCATTAAGTACAAACAAAAAGCCTTGGAAAACATGACATTTTCCATCCTGGAGACAGAATTCTGCTAAAGAATCTGCTGCTCCTACTGAAGGGTGGTTCCTTATTCACCACACATTCAGGTTAGGTAAATTTGGAAGGCTTTTCTAAGACTCTTGTTTGGTGGATGATAAGCAGTCAAATTTTACAAGGTCTGTTCACTTATGCCCTCAGACACGGAGCTAGGAGAGTGCCAAAGGGAAGGTGAGTGGGAAACAGAAATGCTGTCAGGACTTACCAGGGCAAGACACCACTGGGGAGGAGAAGGGAGCAGCATCACATCACTGGAGTAGACACAGGGGTCAAAGAGTTGGGTCTTACACATGCAGAAACTCCCAACAGAGTCAGGTCATTAAAATTACAGACACACTGGGTGCCAACTCTATGCAGGTTAAGAAAAAGCTGTGTACATACCAGAGAGCTCAGCTAAAGGCTGCTGAAGCATGAGCCAAAGACAGGAATTAACTCTGCTATTTGCCTAAAAAGGACTAAGTTAAACGATCAGGCTTCCAGAGCTTCCCCCAAGTGAACAGCCAGGAACACACACACATCTATGCCTGTTATCTAGAAACATGCCACGTCAGCATTTGTTTTAAGTTTCCTTTGTCAAGAGCACCCGGAGCTGCTCCAGGGGGAAGGGCCACCTGCAAGCCACAGCCACACCTCTGGTCCCAGTCGCCCTGAACTGCCTTTGCACCAACAGCACAGCAGCTTTAAACAAAGTGTGTGAACAGTGCACTGCAGGCCCAGGGCCAGCTCCTTCCTAAGCTTTACTGGAATGTTTGTGTCTGAGTACCTCTGCTGATGCTGTCCATGCTTGATCCCTTTCTTCTAAGATTAGGAAATACTAAAAGATCACCCAGCTCCCCAAAAGCCTATCCCAGGAAACCGTGTGACTACAAGACATTTGCCTGTACATCTCAGAATAAAAAATCCAATGCCTGCGTTCAGAAAAGCTGATTTGTGGAGTCAAGACAAACTTCAGAAGGTTTGGTTAAACATACAAGGGTCTGGAAAGGTGGGCAAGCCTTAAGGCTGCTCAGATCACTCACTTCTTCCTGGCCTGCCATTCCCTCAGTGGTTCTGCAGCTCCTTTGTTCCATGCAGCAAGCATCTCCCTATGTCCCAGATCCATGTAAGCATCCTCTGTCCTCCCTTGACCAAACCTCTAGGGAGGCCTGTGGAACATTCCCCACTTAGCCTCTGCAATTCTGCCTTTGAACTGTGTTTCTGAGGACCCTGATTAGTCAGATCCAGCTGAGTCCTGGTCCTGCCCAAGCACTGCAAACATGAAAACTGAATACCTCCCCTTGAAGAGGGAGGCCAGAGAGGAAAGAACTTAAAGTTGAGACCCAAGTGCTGCTAAACACAAGAGTAGCTCTTGAACAGGAACAGATACTAGCTCAAGCTGCCTTTGCTCCTCGTAGTATGATTTCACCAGCTGCCTTTGCTCCTGGTAGTATGATTTCACCATTCCAAAGCATCCCTTGGGAAGCACATGCAGCTTGACAGATTTTGAATAAATACAGGACTACACAAGACCTTTAAGAAAGGAAAGAGAACAAGTAATGGCTTCATTGTTAAAGGTCAGCAGTGGTCCCCATAATCCACAAAATAAAGGATTACATACCAACTGATTAGCTTGAAGTGCTAGCACTGTAATAAGCTGAATACATGAACTGCCTCTTATCAGTATCCACTGTCCAAGGAATTACACCCAAGAGCAAAAAGCTAAGCTGCTTGGAGATGAATTTTTTAATCCCTTATGATAGCAACTAACACAGAGATCTGCCTGTGTAAAATGTGTTTTGTTAAAACCCTTCTACATCTTTGGGAGAGGAAAACAGTAGGAATGAAAAATGCAGAATGAAGGAAGAAAAAAAATACCCCTGCTAAGGTACATTTACAACTTTTTCACCAGTTCTGGAAAGGAAGTGAGAAATGTCCCACTGTTAATTTGTTGGCTAGCTATCGTCATGAATATTTTTAATTTTGTACGTGAGATATTAGTACTGTTGGCTTCACAGGAGCAGCCTAACTCCACACCCAAGCACAGCCATGATACTGCTCTGAGGCCCAAGTTCATCCTGTCTGATGGAAAACCCAGCCAGGAGGTTGCTCCTACCCCAGCTTAGGTGGTCTGAGCCACTCTCTACAGGTGCCTCCTCCAGCGCTGGTTTCTTGCCTAATGAGAAAGTTCAGTGTGCTCCAATTCCTAACTAACAGGCTATTTTGGTGTCAAAAGCTTTGTGGGATTGATTAGAGCACTATACAGCCCATAAACTTTTCCAGACTCCAAGGAATTAAGTGAAATAATGTATTTGCTCATTAATAGTCAAGAGAAAAAAATAAAGTCGGCCTTAGGAAATACTGACTTTTCTTTCCATTAAATAATCAAGGAGTCCTGGAGAAGATATATAGCAACCCTTTGAAGTTCTCCAAGTCTGATACCTTAAGCTACTAGTGACTGTCTGGTTACAGGGCACAAGTAAGGACAAAAGCCCCCATCGTGTGACATCACAACATTCACTTTTGCTGTGATGAGGGATCTCACAGGAAAAATCTGGACAGAGAGATGAAATGTGAGTTTGCTGATCTGAGTATAAGACTGCAGTGCAGATATATCTGCAGCCATACACTTACCACATAATCCAGGTAACCAGGACCATTGTGGCTTCATTGAATGAGTTAAAGAAGCGAATAAGATCTTCCCCCTCTGGGCCAAGCTTTTTCAGTGCCACTCCTAAAACCAGAGCAAACATCACCAGTCCCAAGATGTTCATCCCTTTGATCTCAGTACCAACAGGGATCTGCAGAGACAAAAAAAAGAAGGCTTGTTACATGTGATAATAGGACAAAACCTAACAAAAGGTCATTTTGTTGCTGTCTGATTGATCTGAAATCAACAAGCACAACCTATTTTGTAAAGGAAGAGCCTATTTTGTTGAAGGGAATCAAAGACATCTGGACACAATTCAGGTACAAACCTCCCTAGTTATGAGCTGGCATGGATTCACTGGAGAAGGAAAGGGCCTGCTACTACCTCCTCATATGCCCTCCAATATAATAGTTGTGTTCTCAGTGTCCTGAGCAAGAAAACTCCCCACTTTACTCAGGACTTTAGTGCAATGATGATACCAAGGAGAAAACAACCAATATTATGCAGTAGAAAGAGGGGAGAAAGGCAGAGAAAGGCAGCAAACTGTGGCAACCTACTCCTTCATCTGTCCATGTCAGATGTGGGAGATAGAGAACAGAAGAGAGATACCTGTTCCCCTTCTCAGAAATCTGTCACTGCCTGGGAAAAAAGTAAGAGGACAAAAACCAGGATCCATCTATTGACAAAAACTAGTCTACCCACAGGTCTGCTCTGTTAGTCCTTCATGGTTTGTTTCTCAAAGAGAGCCAGACCTCTCTTTGGCAATGCAGTATCATATGAACTGAATGAGTGCTCTTGTGGCTGCGTAAAAATATAATTGTTTTGACAAACTGGGGTTTTTTTCTCTCCAACTTGGCAGTACAAACATGTCAAATTGTTGTTTTATTTGGAAGAACTTCTATAACAGATGAAGTTTGTGTACAAGTTTTGGTCTTTTGGCTAGTTTAGGTGGACACTAGCTCAACACTAGGAAAAAAAAATACATTCTGAGCTAAAAGTTTGAAATTAATATTGACTAAAGAATTCAGGATACTGATCACCTAAATCTGATAAAATCAGCCTGCTTAAGATCAATGTTTTTGCTGGAAGTACACGGCTGAACTGGACTATCTCTCAGTGGCAGGTAGAAAAAAAGTCCTGCAGGGAAGGGGAGAAAATGTAAATTAGACACAAAAGCAGGAAGGTTAAATTGTTGTTAAGAGAACTGTTTATAAACAGTGAAGGTGCTGGCTTTTTTTATTCACTAGATAAAAATAATTAAATATGGAATCTGCAATTTTATGGTAGTTGCTTGTTCAGGGCTAAGCTGCCACTATTTGTTTGATTCCTGATTGAAGGAACTGAGAACATGGACAGATATTAAGCATGAAGCACAGTATATTTCCAGAGATGTCTGAAGAAACATGCTGTCACACACACTAACACTCTTCCATCTGGATAGTTTTAGCTATATTGCTTTTTGTGACTGAAAGCTCTAAACTCTTCTGTAGTTAGAAAAGTTAAGAAAAAACAAATTACATCCTCATATTAATTAAACAAATCACCTGTGTACATGGGATGTTATTTTACAATATATATCATTTTATATTGGTTCATTTGATACAGGGGTAATACGAAAAGTTCAGCTGGAACATAATTTTGCCATAATGGGCCCAAACCATTAAAAAAAAAGAAAAAAAAAGGCACTAAACCCAGTGAATATTCTTTTGAATATTCTTTTTTTTTTAAAAAAAAAGGTATAAAACTTCCCTATGGAACAGAAATCCAGTGTTTCAATGCTGTAAGAGCCCAGCATTCTGACCTGGATGTTGCTGGGAGAGAAACTCTGTACTCTCCAGAATGACACCCTTGGAGAGGTCTCTGTCCACCTGGCTCCCAGCACTGTGGTAACTGCTGCTGCTGTTCTCCAAGTGCTCACGCTCTCCAGCACTTCAAGCCCAGATTTTGTGATCTGGGGACCTCCTGACCTCTTGGTGGCCAAGGATGACTGTGTCTGCCACTGCCAAGAGTGTGTGAGCTGTCTCCCTCTATTTGCTGCCATCCTGTCCCCACTTTTAGGTCTTGCTCTCTCCTTGTCTCTCCCTCACCAATTTCTTTACAACACACAACATTCACCATCACCTCCCAACACTGCAGATGTAGGCAGAAGATGCACCACTTGCCTAGAGCAGCAACTTATTGCTAGAAATTTCTCCCTGCAAATCCAGAGGATGACCTGCAGCATTCAGGGAATTCTACCTCGTTGTGACACAACATGGAATGAGTCCAGCAGAAAATCTTCAGCGGAAGATCCTCACCATCCCAGCCTCTAAAACTGGCAGATGCTGAACAGCCTTTTTGTACTCTCACAGAAGAGTGCATCACCCCAAAGGGGCAGCCAAACCAAGCAGCATTATGGACACCAAACAAAAACAGCTTTAATGAGAACTTTGTTCCTAGACAAACTATGGGACACATTACTGTTTGCCTGATTATGAATTCTCTTAGGAAGATTCATGGAGCTCTTCTGGTCCTTGAATCTCTCTGAAGATCCATTGTCTTTTAGCTCTTGAAACAAAATGCTTATCAAGGAAACAACTGCTGACATTGAACAGTCCCAGTAGTAGGTGGCTGAAAAGAACATGCAGCCATGTGGTGTGAGGAAGAAGAGGAACCACTGGTTTGTGTATTTTTACTCCAGTCCAAAGAGGAACTGAGCCCCCCCAGGCTCCCTGTGCTGCAGATGGTAAAGTGAGATAGTCTGTGCCCCAGGAAGTCTTGCTGCCAAAGAGACAGAGAGGATGTAGCCATAAAAGCTGGGTAAACATAAGGTGAGCATGTGAAATAACAAAAAAGGACAGGGCTGAGCAAACAACTACGTGTCCCACTATTCCTCTCATCAGTGAGAGAAGACAAGGCCTATTAACCAGTGGGGGGGAAATATAATTAATGGAAAATTTTGCTCTACACTATTCGTATGGGAAGTTGAAGGAAAATATTTCTCCTCTTCACTCAAATACTGTGCTGATGAAAGAAAAAAGAAGATAGGGATATGATTTTATTCCCCTGGAACCAAACTTCTGTCACTAGGATATCCAAAAATTATACTCTTCTTTCCAAACTTAACTCTCATCTATCCATAAATACTATGGTAAAACCAATACTGAAACTGAAGTAACAAAACTGAGACGATGCTGTCTTTTTATTTGGTCTGTTCTTCCCTAGAGACAGTAGGGCGTCTTCTGGAATTAAAAAAGTTCAGTCTGGTTTTGCTCCAACAACTTAAAAAAGGTTTTGGAAAAGTAATAGCAGAAGTAACCTTTACATCATCACAACTGTTGGCAAAAACAGACATCAGTGGCATATTCAGAATATTTTTTCTGATGTTGCATCAAACAAGAGACTGATAAGCAGGAAAAAGAGAGAGGAAAAATGAAAAAAATAATGTTGCATTTTAAAAAGCCAAAAGATGCATTCTTATCTCTTAAGGAAAAGTGATAGTGTTGAACAAGCATTAAAAAAATACTTGACATCCAGCACTCTGTCCAACGGGTATGGTTAACCTTAATCTGTGCTTGGCTGCTACGGAGCCCGTATCAAACTTGACAGTGAAGATAAATAAAAGATTTACATTTTACTCTTGCTTCAATGTCTGCATTTAAATAACTGCACTCTGCAACAAACACACAAATCTAAGTGCACGTTGCCACAGCCTTTCATACCAAAGTTGTTTCAGCAGCACGAAGCTGCAGGGGCATGCCCTGCCCAAGGACACGAGGCCATGGAGACAGAAAGTGTTCTTTTGGGATTCCGCAGTCACGGACTGCATCCCTGTCACATGGGGTGACCGCGGATGTGGGCTAACGCAATCCAACAGGAATGGGCAGGCGGAGCTGCCTTCCCCGGGAACTGCTCAGCTGGTGATGCCAGGCTCTCAGGCAAGGCATAGCTTTGCCCCTGCTCAGTTCATGTGTCATCCCAGTCACCCGGCACCCTGTCTCCAGGGCTGGTGAAAGTTCAGCCCAGGGCTGGAAGCAGAGTTCACAAACACTGTTCTGCATCACCTGCTCACACACCATGCATGGGGAGGAGAAGGTAATCAAGCCAATGCTTCCTGTGCTCAGGGATAGGCTCCAGAGTCCCTCTGGGTTAGCATAAACTGCTTTTTCTTTGATGGTTTTACAAACTGGTGGGCAAACTTCAGCTGAGCCCTTCCATGACAAATGCAAACGTTGCAAGTCTCTTGCCCTAGGGAATTTCAAATCAATTTAAAAACATAGTAACCCAACATCTGATACTGAGTTCAGACAGCTAGAATGAGCTTGAGGAAGAGAAAATCACCTTGAAAGTAATTTCTCAGTAATTTCCCGAAAATCCCATGGCAGCACATGAGGCACTTTATTTGGAGCAAGGTGACACCTTGCAGGCTGAGACCCTGGGTCTGTTTCATAGCACGCTGCTGGTTAGACAACAGTAATTATTGCTGGGCCTGCAACATGTTGGCTCTGGCTAATAATAAACACGTTTGATAGCCTTGTCTGAAAGAGAAATGACATTCAGTGGGATACAGAGCCTCTCTAGAAGCCCTACCATCTACATATGGAAGACACCACTCACTTTCTTTGTCTACACCTACACATCAGCTCCCTTTTTGATACCTTTGCAACAGTAGCCTATTTGTAATGTTGTCTGTCATTTTTACTCCTTCAGACCACTTGTTACTGCTTCAAACAAAACTTCAGTAATGAGAAAAAATTCTCAAGCCAACAAATCCTTTTTTTATAGAGAGCCATGGATAGAGAAGTAAAAAAATTCATTCTCTCCAAACTCTTAATGAAGAGTAAGGTTTAAGGGATATACTCAGCCAGCCTGATTGCTATTTACTTCCAAGTCTACAGAAAGTTATTTGGAAGCATTAGGTAGACTGACTAAAATTTAGAACAAGACACCAGGTCTAGGAAAGCATGGCCTAAAAAAAAAAGTGTCAAGGGTCACATTCAGCTGAGCTCAACCTTCCTCTCGATCACAGCTTTCTGTTGTGGCTCTGGATATTCATTCAGCTTGTGTGTGTCTCAGCTCCAGGCAAATAAAAGTATTTGCTTCTTTTTCAAGACTACTGGAAAGTATTAAAGACTGTGAAGTAGTGAAATATTACTGACAACAATTTGTTTAAAAACCTAAGAATTGACCTTACCTTTTCCAATGTGGCATTTCCAGAGGTGTTCCTAAGCAGCATCTTATAGTCTGTCGCATACTGCAGGTAAGAAAAAAACCACAACCAAACAAAAATGGTGCAGCAGGCATTAAAATTGTCAGCAAAATATCTAAAATCTAGGGCAACAGCTTACTTTGATAAACAAACCAAACACCTCCCAAAAGGAGGGCACTTCTTTGGGCTTGTTTTCTTTAAGTACAAAAGGAGGGAAGGAAAAGCTTCTGTCCTTGTCAATTCCCTGTGACAACAGCAGCACAGAGGAAAAGAGTACTGCTTTATTTCATCCCTGAATACTCACAACCCTGACACTAGAGGCATCACAAAATGTCCTTTTCATAGTGTTATTTTTGTACTACTTCTGTTTTTACTCATGGAATATTGACTTGTACTGTATATGATATATACTATGTGTACTCATGCAAAATGGAACTTGATTTTAAGAGTTTGTGCTTGGTTTTGATACAAAAGCAAATCCACAGAACACCACGAAGGCAACAGCTATTATTCTGCTCCTGTATCATAATCATGCTGGCCCATGACAATATTCTAAACTCTCTCTATCCTGAAATATAAAATTAGCATTGAGAACTAAATCAAGATCTTTTTGGAGCCCTACAGCTCCAACCCATCAGTTTAAACCACACTATGTTCTGGTGCCAGTTATCATCCCATCACACAATAGTCTCTGTTTGAAGAGAAACCAGGCTGAGTAATTAATCCAGCAAGGGATCCAATGGAAACTACAGAATAAAACCATCAGGCAACAGGTAATGCTTATATAGATGGGAGCCTAAAGGTCTTCAGCCTTGTCTGTTCTGAGCTCAGCTCTAAAACTACGCAACCAAAGGATTCTTAGCTAGCTCCTGCAAAATGGTAAGCAGCCTGGCACAAAGCAGGATTGCCACTGCTGCCCAACATGGCACCCAAAATTTAAAGAATATTTTTGGTGAACGTAGAAAAGATGGGCTTTGAATATGCTTTTGTTTGAGGAATATTTTTCAAATCATTTGCCATGAAAGCTGTATGTCTGACTATATAGTGTTTTTAAAAACCCTACCTTCTATAAGTAAATTAACTTCTGGTATTTTCTACACCATCTTTCTTGTCCTCTTCCAATAAAAGAGCCTATGCACTGTAGCTCGTGTCCAAAGTCCACATAGATCTTACCGTTTCGAAAGCTGCAGCAACAAGATTTGCAGGAAACAGGTTTCTGTAAAAGACAAACAAGAAAATGAAATATGTCAAAGAGAACTTCTTAAATGAATGCACCAATGTATCTTACTCTCAGAAACAGAATTTCTTTTTCAAAGGCAAACCCATTGGCACTGGTGCGGTGTGTAGCACAGAAGATACTCCGGCAGCATGGAGCTTGCTATGTGTCCAGAGGTGTGGATCTTCCTTGGCTCACAAGAAAGAGATGACAAATGCTTGCCACCACACCTCACCTTTTGGGCAGGGCCACCAGAGGCAATCACACACAATGCTGATTACACACACCCATAGCCCAGTGGCTACAGAAACTGGTTCAGCCACACCAGCTGCAGCACCAGTTTATGGCCTCCAGTGTCAGGCAGGTTTTTAACACTGCTCATGTGATTACACTTCCCTCACAGTATCAACATGAAGGACAATCCAATCAGCAAAATCCACTTACAAGAATGGCTTAACCCTTCAACACAGCAAGGCCAGCTTCCCTGACCACCCAGGCAGTGCAGAACAACATCACAGGTCAGACTTCTCTGCAAGGACTTAGGCAACACAGATGGTAATCACAGGCAAATCCTATGGAACATCTGAATCCAGTAGTGCCTTCACACAGGAATGCAAATCTAGCATCAGGTTAATGCAGAGAGGACAGTATTCAAAGTGGTGTAGACTCTTTCTGACCATCCAGGATGTATCTGCATACAGGATTGCAGACAGGAAATTAAAATGGTGAACTGGACCAAGCAGGCATTCCTTCAAGCTTCTTGTGGTATCTAATAGTTGGTTTTAATGCTATAATTGCTTTCCCCTCTTATGGGCAAAGAACACGTGTTCCCCTAGCCAAATGAAAACTCTTGGTTTTCAGAAAGGAAAACATGAATAAAAGTTTATCTCTGGGGTCATGGTAGGACCCCAGTTGGCAAGGGCAGGAACGTGATGAGTATGATCTGAAAATATTGCCAGTAGAAGGCATCACAGAGGCACAAGAACTCTTATGGTAAGGAATCAGAAGACTTTACCCAGAATCAGTTAATTGTGGTAAAAAACATCTGGATAGCTGCTCCCCATCCTTTGCTCTTTGCACTGCTCAGAGGAAGCTGCAGCTCTCTCCAGGCTGTGCCCTGCTAACTTCCCCCATTTTTGCCATAGTTACCCAGAAAACATTAAACCAGGCTGTGGTCACTTCATGAATGGCATGGAATGTGCAAATCCAAACCAGAGCAAGAAAAGGAGCAGCAGAGTCAAATCTTTGACAGTAGGAGGGAGATTTAAATACAGCCCAGTTAAGGACTTTGGCCTTTTTGGTTACATAGCTCTGTTCTCCTGCCACATAGGGCATTTTCCCACAGCCTTGATAACAACTGTAAAGGACACTGAACTTCATCAAACACCTGTCTGCTGTGAAATGCCTCGGCCTCTCTATCTCTCTCTGATGCACTGCAAGTGTATTAGGAAGATTGCTGCAAGAATAATTTGTCTTCTGGAGTCTATATTCCACCAAGCATGAAAGAAACAGCAACTTTTTCTCCTCAAAAGTTGGCAATACAGCTGTCTGTCTGAAAGCAGGAGAGCAAGCTCTCACTCAGCAAAGGGGCTAAAAAAATTGGTCACGTAAGATCAATGGAACAGCTAACATGCATCAGTTCTTGCACAGCTGGAACTCTCTGGTGGACAAAAACCTTGAGTAAAGTAAAAGCAAACTTGCTTTTATCAGGAGTAAAATATCACATATACAAATGGGCTCATGCTGTTGGGAAAAGGAGGATATTTCTTTTCAGCTTTTCAAAGCAGGATGATTACTTTTTTAAAAAAAAGAACTGACTGGACTTTGAAGAAGCAAAGAGATGAAAAAAGACTGAAAACCAACCAGAGACTGATTCTTTTTTTTTTCTTTAAATCAGCTTTTCCATCCTGATGAAACCAAAACCAAAGGAAGCAATCCTAAAGCCTAAACAGAATGGTTCTCCAATGTTTTAATGTGGCCAGGAAACCAAACCCTCCATAATTTGCACAGTATGTCAGGCATGGGCCTCAGTAACTAAACATTAACTTATCTCCAAGGATATACTTAAAGCACATAGTTAAGTGATGCCAGCAACCCTGTTAGAGCAAGGCAAGGGGCAGGCTCTTACTTCAAGTGTGAATAGGGCTAAAAAAGAACCTAGAGTAGACACTTTGCTTTATTCCTCCAGCACCAGTCACAGGACTTGACAATTCGCCAAGTAAAAATTTTGGATCTCAAGCAGCTCAGGAGTTATATGTTCTGTTCAATCCAACTTCTAAGTACACCTGACTGCAAAATACCAAAACCACATAATGTTTTGCTCCTCTGTTTCAAATGTCAAAGCTTAATAACAAAGTATATCAGGCCATAAAAAGCAATCTACAAATAAACATGCAGACCTCACGCCTCTAAGATAAGCCATACTATACTTATTGCTCACCTAAAATCAGTCAGCATGTGAATTAAATTCATCTTTAATTACAGGTGGGTTAGATCACAAGTTCTTACCTTTGGATGGATTTGCGCAAGAACACCACTGCGGTGCCTAAAAAAAAGGGCAAGATGCTGCGTGTTTCAGGGAGAGATAAAAGTTGGCTGCTGACCTGCCTGGGCCCATCATGGACTTGTGCCTGCAGGGTTTGCTCCTCATGCCTGGTGAGGTAAAGCTCACTCAGCACAGAAACACAGACACAGCTCTGTCCCTGTGTGCAGAGGAGCTGCATGGGGAAGTATGGACATCCCTCCTGTGAGGGTAAACCAACAAACAGGAAAGCTGATTGAGCAGGGTAATTAGGCATGCAAATGAAATCTGGGTGTCTGCCCATTGGTTTTTCTGTGAGGACCAAAGGTTTTTGTGCTCTGAAAGCCTGTAGCAAATGTGAGCATGGAGTTTAGGGTAATCACCCTAGTTGTATGGCTGGATTGTTGACTGTTTCTGGTGGCCCCATCCCCATGCCCTGTGCCAGAGAACACAGTCGCCTTTCTGAAGTAGATGTGGATTATCACAAGAACACGGAGCTGGCCAAACCCTGGGTCTGGGTGATAAGGAGCCCGGCACAGCACTGTGGGATCAGACAGCCTTGGCTCCAAATGCAGCGAGACAAAACTTGCTGCACATGGCATGAACGAGACAGGCCAATAACACACCACGGCAGAGGGACAGATGTGCTGCCTGGACCCCAGGTGCCCCACTGCTACCTCGCTACACACGAGCACAGACCCCAACTCCTCTGTGCCATAAAAGTGAAGTAAATGGCACAGAGATACTTTACTTCTCTCACCAAGCACCAGGCAGGAAAGCCTCTCTCTGCCTGCTGCAAGTTCCTCAGACAGCCCTAAAGAAAGCCAGATCAGAAATCCATCAGACAGCTGGCAAGGGGGACATCTGTGTCCTAGGGCTGAAGCAACAGCTGGGCTGAGCCAGGAAACCTCCATGTAACTGCACAATACACAGAGTGAGAAAGCACCCCTCTCAGATCCTCTCAAAATAGGAACAAGAAAATAGCAGCACCAAGGGTGGGTGTTACAGTGTGTATTTCCTGCTTGAATACTGCACTCATCACACCATCTTCCCATGCACAGCTGGATAAATGCATCTTTCTTCCCGTGAAAAGCTGCTCCTACCAGTCAAAATCAGACCACTACTCCCCAGGAAAATCCCACTGTATTTCTGCTGTAATAGAAATCTTAGTTTAGCTGCAACATCTACTCTTGGGAATCCCAAACAACTAAGGGAACGTGGAGCTGGCAAAGGGATAAAATGGGGCGGTAACTCTCCTCTATTTTGATATTATGGTCAAATTGCTCTCTTCTTTACAGGCCTGTATCTTTCCATCAGCGGGATGAGGATTACACTGGAACTCCTCCATTGTATATGTAAGGGATTATTATTAACAACTGTTTCTAAATTATTCGTTTGCTAGAGCTCTGCAAAAAAACTTTGCTCTGGCAGCAAAAGTGTGAAGGGAAATCCAGGCAAATGGAATGAAACTCTAAAATACTACTCATTCCTCTCACATTGCTTCTTACAAAAAGGTTCCATTTCTGAGGCCAAAAACTTTGCTGTTGAAAAACATTCTTTTTTTAAGAAGTCTACAAAAAATATTCAGTGTTGGTTATGCCCAGTTTTCAGGTTTTTTTCAAATGGTATGAGTCAACTCATGGCAACTTTATTTCCACCTGTGGGAAAATGCCAGAGCCCAGCTCAAATTCCTCCAGTACCTTCATTTTCCTTTCTGTCCCAAGATTTTAATTCAGTATCACAGAGCAATTTTCCTCATCTGCTTTTTGATATGTGGATGCACAACACATGCCCTGTACATACTCATATTTGTGAGTGTGTGCATTTGTTTTAACACAGAGAAAATTGAAAATGTGTTTACTTATAGCAGATATTTGATGGTCCAGTCTGTATTTTTGATGCTTGGAAAATAAAATGTGTAATTGGGGGGAGTCAGTAGTAAAAGGCAACAAATATAAGGAACAAATGAAAGGAGCAGAAATGTTCAGAGGCTTACCAAAAAAAAAAAAAAATCTCCCAGAGAGTGCAGGCATATAAATGAAAACACTGAGTTCTTCCTACAAAACTCAGTCAGCAATCCCTGCACTTTGAGAGAGATTCCAGACTCAGAAAGTGACACAAGCAAAGCAGAACAGTTACCTTCACTTTAAGAACTACCCATCAGCTTCAAACCCAGAGGTCAGCCTGTCTCTTGGTGTAACTGCAGCCATTGCCTGGACGCTTTTTATTCTATTTAAGATTTCAAAGGTGGCATCTCCTCCTCTTCTAACAGTCACATTTTAATGTCTTTCCACATTGGGATTTCAGAGATGGCCTTGATGGTTGCTGGTTTTGGGTGACTCAGAAGAGGGTCACTGCTGGAGTGGTCTACTCTGGCCACCTGCTCTGCAGCCTGGCCAGCAAAACACAAATGATGCTTCTCCCTGCGCTCATGTCTGCCTTCCCTACAGCTAGGAGCAAAGGCATGAGCTTGCTGTGGGTGCTCCCTTTGGCAGCTCAGCTGGTAACATCGGGCAGAGAGACAGAGAGGACATTGAGAAGAAATAAAATTTAATTAGCTTCTTCAGACCTTACTGCTTGGGGCAGATGTATGGACCTCTGTGCACTCTTCCTATAAAAGAAAAGGGATTACCTCCTTCCCTTCCCAGACTGTTAGAGCTAGGGTTGGATTAAAAACAGAATTCCCTTCCCCAAAGCGAATTCCACAGTTGCAAAACATGTTTTCATCCCAAAATTAGGCAAAAAAAGCCTGTTTCAGATCCCTTTTTCCACAAAAAAAAAAAATTGGAAAATACCCTGTTGAAATGTTCCTTTTTTGATGAGTGAGATTTTTTACTTAAGTCCTTTGTATAAAATGACAGCAAAACACTGACCTCACTGAAATGAAATGCCACAATCCCCTACTGACGGAAATTTTGACAGGATCAATAGATTCCTGTGAAGCTGTTCAATTTTGTTGAATCAACAAATATAAATTAGAGCTAGAACAAAACTCTGACCTTATTGAAACATTCAGTCATGACAATTGCCCATCAAAAGTGTGAACAAATCAATAGATTCTTGCAAAACACTTTATCCTGCTGTTCCAACTGCTTTCCAACAAGCTGCAGGTAGGCTGTGTGAGCAGGCAGTTGGAGTCCCATCCTTGGGACTCCCTCTCCCTGGTTACATGCAGGGCACAAGCAGAGCTGGCTCTCTACAGTGTCACCTTCTCAGGTGGGGGCTGAGCCCCAAACCCCACCACATCCCAGCCAGCCCCTTCCTCCAGCTGCCAACCACTTCACAATCAAGCTCATAAGCTCTCTTTACTCTGTTGCTTTGTCTTCCCCACCAAATAAATGAGTAAGGGAAAACCCTAGAAATTCTAAAACTTCCCTCATCTTCTGTTGACAGATTTAAGAAATTCGTAGATCCTGCCTTGAGTTTAGGGAACACTCCACTTTCTGGGTGCTTTTTTAAAAACCATCAGCCTTGCGGAAATAGCTGTGAACTCTTGGTGGATCTTCTCCCATGATCACTGCCTTTGGCCATGCTACTCTTTAGGAAGCTCCAAGGAGTTGCCCACATAACAGACCTGAGATGAGCCCTGCTGCAGGGCACAAAAGCACCTTATGACAGCTCTGCTGTCCCCACCCCATGTCCTGGGGCAGAGGACAGTGTGCCTAAGCCCTGACTAGACATGCTCAAGACTTGCTTGCCTCCGGCACTTGCCAGAAGGGAAATCAGGAGGGTGCTCCAGCACATCCAGCCAGACAAATCAGACCTGGAGGTTATGGTCAATGGACAAAATAAAACAGAGGCGGCCTCTGGGCCCACCAGTGAGTCATCATTCATCTGATACCAAAGCACAAGATAAATCTTTTTTCCAGAGGTCATTTCTCCATGCCTAGATACATGTTTATAGGGAAGCTTTAGACTTTAAAAAAAAAAACAAGAACTAAGCTGGCCTCCAGACATCACTGCAACAATGAAAAGCAACATCTTTGGTCATTACCAAATAGACTTCCCAAAGGCAGAAGTAATCTGCAGAACCAAATAGTGACACACAGCTGTGATTTCCTCTTCACTGTTTTTTCCTCGGGTGATGTTTTACATTGGTTTTCAGTGCTGTAGGGCAACTTAGTTTACCCATTTGCAACTCAATTTTACCTCTCCTCTGAAAACCAGCAGCAGTGACACAGTCAGTCTTGTGCCACAACTGAAAACAGAGTTTTCCTGCATCTAATAGGAAGTTTCATGGCAAACGAGATAAAAGGAGAAGCAAAGAGCAGGATGCTGCAAGACCCACCCACACAAAAAGCAATCATTTCAACGCTCCAGGCCCTACAGAATCAAGGCTTTGTTATCTCAGGATGAGGTTACTCTACTAAGTTCCATCACAGCAGGGACCAAGTTCAGTGCTCAAACCAAAATACCCACATTGTCAAGAACAGTTAAAGAAATAACATTACATAGCAGAGAGAGAGAGATCTTATTTCCTGAAAATCATATACTCTCTCCATCCCTCCGTCTGTCAGGGATTTGTGCTAAGACTGAAAGTTTTAGTGATGGCTGTGTCCAAACACAACTTTTCTGGACTGGATTTCACTGTCACTGCTGTAACAACTTACTGTCCAACAGTGTGGCTGCAATCCCTTCCCTGGGATTCCAAGAAAAAGCTGTATTCACAGCCCCTCATACATGCATTGGGGGAAGATCCTATCCCCTCAACTCCTAGAAGGAAATTCCTCTGCAACCCCCGTGCTTTACCCATGTATCATCATTATGAGCCGTACTTTAGAATTAGGGACTCAATCCCATCACCATCATAATCCCTTTGAAGATGAACTCTACACCTGCATTTACAGACCAGACCAAGAAACAGCTGTCTGCTTTGAACTTTAGATACTACCCACAGCCTGAAGCTCACTGGAACATCCCTGGCCTGTTCCTCAACTCCACCCTGCTCCATGCTACCAGGTGACACAGGGATGTAACACTAGGTACAGCAGCCTTGCCAGGGTGCCCTGGGGCAGCCACCACTACAGGAATCTTCCCAACTCTCCCAGGCATGTCTGCTCCTTTTTTTCAGCAATCTTCCTTCACCTCCTTCCCCTCCATTCAACAGCATATCACCACCACAGCCAGACTACCTTCTCTCATTGTCCTACTATTCCTTCTTAACATGCTGTCAGGAATTGCTGGTCCTTAATTGTTAGTTCTTAAGAGAGGGAGAGGTGAGCTGAGGACACTGACTACATGGCTGTCAGAGGAACAAACCAGACTTACTTTCTATCCAAAGGGAACATACTTGTCTCAGGGGGAGAAAAGGACATTAACTCGAATTTGTAAACACAGTTCTGGGTTTAGGGTTGATTTTTTTTTTTTTAAAAAGTCTTTTTATCTTTGTTGCCACATTCACTTGTCCAGAGCAAAAACGTATCTCAGCTGAAAAAACTGGACTCATAAAAACATCAACAACAAAAAAATCAACAACCAAGAAACCACTCAGGTTTGTAATTACCAGGATATCCACTAAGCTCAACTTTCCAGCCACTTCACTGTGACACAGGTCACCTCCCTTATTCTTGTGTTTGTACCTCAGTGCAAAGCACAAGGAAATGCAGTTGGAAGTGGACGAGTAAAGATACACTAAAACACTATCATCTGATTGGAAGTGGAAGCCTTATTTCCAGATAGATTTGGGGAATGCAAGTCTTGTCTTTGCAAGATGCAGAGGTAGGAGGGGAAGCTCACAAACCGACAGAGCATCCTCAGACTGCACGATATTTAGGGTACGTCCTCCATGGAATTACAGAGCTGTGTTTCCATGTCCACATCTATGGGAGGGCCCTCTAAGAGGCAGGTAGGCATGTGGGTGAGGAGACTGGGTAAAGTGTTGGAGAATTAAAGAAAAAGGTGTCTGTGAGGGATGAGAAGAGCTGCCCAGCCCTGCCCTACCTGCAGGAGACAGGCAACAACAGGCAGCAGGGCAGGGGAAAGTGCCAGGCAAAGCCTGCCCTGCAGCCCGCATCCAGGAGCCGCTCTCCCTCCAGGCAGAGCCACAAACAGGCCTAGGCATCCAGAACTCTGAGCAAGCCTCGACCCATCCTTGCAGCCACTCAGGCAAAATTTAAAAAGCAGGGAGAAGCAGAGCACCATGAAACCCTACACACCCGACCGGGCTGCGGATACTTGGGCAGGTACTTCTGGAGAAGCCAGGATTAGGATGAGAAGGATGGTAAGACGAAGGAGATAAAGAAGGAGGTTGAGGAGCAAGAGAAAAATGAGGGGAAGGTGCAGGAAGGTAAGAAGATGAAGGAGGAGGAGGGCTCCCGAGCCCCGGCTGCGGTGTGCAACACTGCCGGGTCTGTCATCATCCTCCAGTGGCGGGAGGGCGGGGGAAGGAGGGGAGCGGGGCGGCCTCACCTGACGAGGTCGAGGAAGGAGTCCACGGTCTCCTTGCTCGTCGGGGGCAGCGCGCCCGGCAGCCCCAGCTGGGTGTTGAGAGCGGAGGCCCCGGCTCCGGGGCGGACGATGAAGCCGAGGGCGACGGCGAGGCCGGAGGCGAGCAGCGTAGTGCCCAGGAAATAGGCGAGCGCGATGCCACCCAGGCGGCCGAGCGAGCGGGTGTCCAGACTGGCGGCGCCCGACACCAGGCTGCAGACCACGAGCGGCAGGATCACCATGCGCAGCATCCGCAGCAGCAGCTCCCCGGGGAAGGCCAGGTAGGCAATCTGTGCCGGGCCCAGCGCCGCGCCGCGCACGGCCGCCCCCAGCGCCACGCCGGCCACCACCCCTGACACCGTCAGCAGCACCAGCGCGTTGCTCCGCAGGAACCCGCGGCAGCCCCGCAGCCGGGCCCCGCCGCCCCGCCGCTCCTCCGCCGCCGGGCTCTCGGCGTGGCCGTTCCGGCCACGGCCCGCCTTGCCCTCACCCGCTGCCGCCGCCTCCTCCATGCTGCTACGAACAGCGGCTCCGCGTGTGCCCCTACCGTGCGGCGCTCTCAGAACGAACTGAGCGGCGGCCCCGCCCCGCCCTGGGGAGGGAGCGCGGTGCCCACGGCCCGCCCCTGCCCGCACGCCGGGCCCGGCTCGGCTTCGCGCCATCGCCGCCCTCAGGGTCCGCACTGCCCTCGCGGCCGCGGCCCGCGCATGGGTGGTGTGAGGCGCCTCCGTGGCCTGGAGGCCTTCTCCGTGTCCCGGCGATGTCCCAGAAATCACGCGTGTCTCCCCACGGTTTGCACACATGGGGACCATCGGTGTCACAGAGCTAACAAGTGCCCCACAGCGTCCATCTTCATGTCCCTGTGGCTCACGTTTGTTCCTCCATTGTCCACTCAGTATCCCCGTTGTTCGTACGCACCGCCGTAGTGTCCCCATAGGTCGCATGTGTCCCCTCAATCATGTCCCCTCAGTGTTCCGTTCAGTGTCCCAGTGCTCACACGTGTCCCCTTTGTTTTCCTCCATGTCCCCGTGGCTTAGACGTGTCCCCTCGTTGTCCCTGCTCAGTATCATCATGGTTCGTACCCACCCCTGCAGTGTCCCCATAGGTCACACTTACCCTCTCAGTGTCCCTACAGCTCACACATCTCCCCCTCCATGTTCTCGTGGTTCAGTCACGTCCCCTTAGTGTGCCTGTGGCTCACACATGTTATAAATGAGAGACAAAAGTCTCGATATTCAGCAAAATTTTGATTGCTCTATTTGATATAGAAAGAGCAAGCAGCGCGCTGGGGAAAGTCACTGGTCACCGCCCACTCCACGCTCCACCGAACCTCGGTTTGCAGCCTCTTCTTATACTGTGGTTTCTCATTGTAGTCAACAATTTTTTGGATTTTTGTTGTCATAAGCAGTGGTGGTTGAATAAACATCTTTACACAAAGCCTTTGGGTGATAATCAGTCACAGATAGCCATCTGGTCCTTGTAGATAACCACCAAAGAAGTTCTGGGAGTCTGGTTCTTGAGATAGGCAGTATTGATTAGACAAAGGCAGGAAGGGCTTTTTGGGAAGTCTGATTTTGCAACCTGGTAGCTGATACAACTTATTTGGAAAACATAACATAACATATTATAATGTAACATAATATAATAAGGTGATTTTAAACAGAATTATTTTATCATATAATTTCCATTATCTAGTGTCCATGCTTCACTTCAGAGCTTAGTATTCTGGTTTATACAAACCCCAATGCTTTTGTGATTAACGCGAATCTTTTATCAATTATCACACACATATCTCTCTCAGTGTCCCCATGATTTGCATACATCCCCATCAGTCTCCCACAGCTCACAAGTCCATTCAGAGACCCCCTCAATGTCTTCGCAGCTCACACATTGTCCCTATCAGTGGGGTTCACATGTGCCCTCAGTGTCCCCCTCTCCTCTCCAGGACCTCTCATGGAGGCAGGAGCCATCTTATGCACCAGGACAGGTTGTGTCTGTGTCCCCTGTCCACACGATGAAAGCCATTCAGAAGGTCCATGGGTGACATGGACACGGGGACTCCGAGCACCCTTCCTTGAGGAAACCCATGCCTCACCACACAAGCTGGTTGTCAGAGGAGCAGACGATGTCTGTGACAATACATGGGGCTGATAAAGGGCACTTGGGGCTTTCAAACCCACAAGAGCCTCACGGGTACACTACTGTCATGTTTGCTCACAAGGGCACTTCCAGGACCTCCAGCTGGTGTTTGGACTCAGGGGCTCAATTTCAGTTCATTCCCTTGACATCAGCAAAGCACAGCCTAGCAGAAAACACTCTGTGAAAACAACCAGCCACACATCTGCTTTTCAAGTAGACTGTGCTAATTAAAGAGGCTGACAGGATGTGATGGGAAATAACCCCAATTTATTAAGACTTTTCTATTTTCCAGTCTCATGGATAGACCTGAAGATGGCCATACCATGACTGGAGCTCCTGGGAATTGTCTGTATGTAAATAGTTAACAACACTGACAAGCAGTTGTGTCCACCACCATCCACTCCAGAGCTTGATGAAAATTCTTGATTCTCTCTTGCACTGAAATTAGATTCACGATACCAGCATATTCTTATTGATTTTGTATTTTTTTTCCCTGATAGCTTTCCCTTTGAGTAACAGGTGGTTTGTGGAAGTCTGTGAATCAATGTCCCATCAAATCAAGAGATAGGAAACAGAGACTAAACAGTGAAAACAAGTGTCTGCAAGCACTTTTAAAAACATTCAATTCTGCATACCTAGAAAGGAACAATTTTTTTTTTTTTTGCAAAAAGGTTTGTGAATAATAAACAAGTTACCGTCCAACGTAATTGTTTCTTTCTCCATCAGAAGCATTTCTAAAATTGTTTTTTATTTATATTTTCAGAGCATTCCTTGTGAAAATGTCATGCTTCATTTTTTCCTTGCATTTTTCCCTGCCGTTCTTTCCTGATCTCACCCTTTTTTCCTTCCATTTACCCATGAAAAGGGGAAGAGAAAAGCAGAAAAGAAACTACAACAGAAAATAATAAAATAAATATAAAAATACAGAAATCTTGTTTCAGTTGAGAAAAGATTCTAAAACCAAACAACAAACATAAATGCTGTTCCCTTGTACAAACTGAAAGCAGGGGGAGAAATTCAGGAAAGTGTGAACAAGAATAATGTATTAAATCAAAAAACTCATTGATGAAAGAACCAACACAGAACCTTTTCCACTATATGACAGTAGACTCCTCCTCTCTTGGAGTATCTCCCCATGTCCTTGTGGGACTGACTTTGCTCAGAGCAGTGCCATGAGAACAGCCAGGTGACCTGCAGGAACACACCTCCAGAGCTACAGATCCCAGTGGAAGTTCTTTAACCCGTGCTGAGGCTGCTTGGTGATAGCCAACCCTTCAAAACAAACACTTTGACATAGGGATGCTGGTGTCAAGCTTCCTGGTCAATGACACCATGAGAATTCCCCCCAGTTTCCCCTTCCTTTTTTCCCAGCCTCTTGATTTTTTAATTCAAATACTGATCCAAACAGTTATCCGTCCTCTCTTGACATATCTCCAGATGACAATGCTTTTGCCAGCAAGAAGACGACAGAGCATGTGAACCTCCCACCATACAAATGTAGATCATCCCAAAGATGTTCTAGCCAAAGCTAACTGTTTTTCCACCCTGTGAGAGTTCATGGATGGCTGCAGTGATTAACCCTGAAGCCTGCTGGCTTATTCAGTAGTAATCGTTGACTGATCCATTGTGTCATGTTTTCATTTCAACGCTTGTAGATTTTGGGAGCTTTCCAGTGAGTGAGTCTGCATGTCCAGACTCCAATGTCCACTGCGCTGGTGCTTCTAAATTAGGGATCTTGACTTTCCCTATTGGAACTTGAAGATTCTTCTTTTTGCTTAAGTGGCTTTCACCTGCATAGGGCTTGGGTGCTTCCTCCAGAAATCAGCAGAGGGATCATGAACAGGCAACAAAACTACAAAAAAAATCCAGTTACTTTTAAATAAAATTTTTTAAAATTCTTTTGCTTTCAGTGAAAAAACAGCCAATATAGTTTTTACCACTGGCCCAGGAAGGAAGATGTCATGCTGTTTTCTAGTCAGATTCAACTTAATACCAGTTTTTGGTGGTAGGCGTTGGAAATTCTGGCCTCAGTGGAAGGAATGAAAAAACCTTAATGGCTGTAAGGGAACCGTGTTCTTCCCTTTCTATATTTCACCTGCACATCAGCGCAGATGGATGCTTATAAATAGGATCTATGTAATTTAGCTGTTGACTCCTGGAAATGTAGGATTTTAATGCCTCTTGGAAACAGAGGTGATTATTTTCCACACAAAGACTGGAAGAAATCAGATTTGAGTTTCTTTGCTAGGAGAGGAGAGGAAGGCCTTCAAGGAGCTGTGTGCAGCTCCCTGAGTCTCACACCTGATACATACAAGTCTCAGCACTTGGCACAGGTTAGAGTAGCCCTCAGGGCACATTTCCTATAAATCTGCATAGCAGCAGGAGTGCAGAGAGCACTCATTGTGCCAACTCCACTTCCTCAGTCTTCCTGCTGCTTATTTCCCTCTTCCTAAGACTGGCAAGGTCGTCTGCAGCTTTTTCCTTGGGTCTGGCTGGTGTTTGCTCTCTATTCTTGGGAGACCCAATATAAGCATCAGCAGGCTTCAAGGTAAGTCATCCATCAGTCATCTCCTGCAACTGCTTTTATCTGAAGTAGTTTGAAGACTGATGCTTCAAAGGCATGGTGGAGAGGAGGGAACAAGATGAAAGGGAAGAGGGCAGGAAGGGGTTGCATTTTATAGTCATGTTTTTCAAGAGAAGCTTGAATAAAGGTGCTCCCAAACATCCCAGCAGAGATGCACTGGATAGCCTGCAGTGTCCTAAGGGGCTGTGTTACAGTGTGGCCTTTTTCTGAGGAGGATTCATGGGAGCACATGGGAGAGCTCTTGATTTCTACTGAGCAAAATGAAGTCCTCAGAAGAGCCACAGCACATGAGCTGAGGCAGGA